ATACTATACTATACCGCCGCGCTGCTGCACCACGCCGCCCTCGCCCTGGCCACCGCCCTCGCGCCCGCCGCCGCACTGGCCGCGCTGCTGGACAGGGACCGCACCTTCACGGAGCCCGCCTTCATATGTACGTACTGCACTGTACTGTACCGTACTGTACTGTACTATACTATACTATACCGCCGCGCTGCTGCACCACGCCGCCCTCGCCCTGGCCACCGCCCTCGCGCCCGCCGCCGCACTGGCCGCGCTGCTGGACAGGGACCGCACCTTCACGGAGCCCGCCTTCATATGTACGTACTGTACTGTACCGCACTGTACTATACTATACTATACCGCCGCGCTGCTGCACCACGCCGCCCTCGCCCTGGCCACCGCCCTCGCGCCCGCCGCCGCACTGGCCGCGCTGCTGGACAGGGACCGCACCTTCACGGAGCCCGCCTTCATATGTACGTACTGCACTGTACTGTACCGTACTGTACTGTACTATACTATACTATACCGCCGCGCTGCTGCACCACGCCGCCCTCGCCCTGGCCACCGCCCTCGCGCCCGCCGCCGCACTGGCCGCGCTGCTGGACAGGGACCGCACCTTCACGGAGCCCGCCTTCATATGTACGTACTGTACTGTACTGTACCGTCACTGTACTATACTATACTATACCGCCGCGCTGCTGCACCACGCCGCCCTCGCCCTGGCCACCGCCCTCGCGCCCGCCGCCGCACTGGCCGCGCTGCTGGACAGGGACCGCACCTTCACGGAGCCCGCCTTCATATGTACGTACTGTACTGTACCGCACTGTACTATACTATACTATACCGCCGCGCTGCTGCACCACGCCGCCCTCGCCCTGGCCACCGCCCTCGCGCCCGCCGCCGCACTGGCCGCGCTGCTGGACAGGGACCGCACCTTCACGGAGCCCGCCTTCATATGTACGTACTGCACTGTACTGTACCGTACTGTACTGCTACTATACTATACTATACCGCCGCGCTGCTGCACCACGCCGCCCTCGCCCTGGCCACCGCCCTCGCGCCCGCCGCCGCACTGGCCGCGCTGCTGGACAGGGACCGCACCTTCACGGAGCCCGCCTTCATATGTACGTACTGACTGTACTGTACCGTACTGTACTATACTATACTATACCGCCGCGCTGCTGCACCACGCCGCCCTCGCCCTGGCCACCGCCCTCGCGCCCGCCGCCGCACTGGCCGCGCTGCTGGACAGGGACCGCACCTTCACGGAGCCCGCCTTCATATGTACGTACTGTACTGTACTGTACCGTACTGTACTGTACTATACTATACTATACCGCCGCGCTGCTGCACCACGCCGCCCTCGCCCTGGCCACCGCCCTCGCGCCCGCCGCCGCACTGGCCGCGCTGCTGGACAGGGACCGCACCTTCACGGAGCCCGCCTTCATATGTACGTACTGTACTGTACCCACTGTACTATACTATACTATACCGCCGCGCTGCTGCACCACGCCGCCCTCGCCCTGGCCACCGCCCTCGCGCCCGCCGCCGCACTGGCCGCGCTGCTGGACAGGGACCGCACCTTCACGGAGCCCGCCTTCATATGTACGTACTGCACTGTACTGTACCGTACTGTACTGTACTATACTATACTATACCGCCGCGCTGCTGCACCACGCCGCCCTCGCCCTGGCCACCGCCCTCGCGCCCGCCGCCGCACTGGCCGCGCTGCTGGACAGGGACCGCACCTTCACGGAGCCCGCCTTCATATGTACGTACTGCACTGTACTGTACTGTACTATACTATACTATACCGCCGCGCTGCTGCACCACGCCGCCCTCGCCCTGGCCACCGCCCTCGCGCCCGCCGCCGCACTGGCCGCGCTGCTGGACAGGGACCGCACCTTCACGGAGCCCGCCTTCATATGTACGTACTGTACTGTACCGTCACTGTACTATACTATACTATACCGCCGCGCTGCTGCACCACGCCGCCCTCGCCCTGGCCACCGCCCTCGCGCCCGCCGCCGCACTGGCCGCGCTGCTGGACAGGGACCGCACCTTCACGGAGCCCGCCTTCATATGTACGTACTGCACTGTACTGTACCGTACTGTACTGTACTATACTATACTATACCGCCGCGCTGCTGCACCACGCCGCCCTCGCCCTGGCCACCGCCCTCGCGCCCGCCGCCGCACTGGCCGCGCTGCTGGACAGGGACCGCACCTTCACGGAGCCCGCCTTCATATGTACGTACTGCACTGTACTGTACCGTACTGTACTGTCCTATACTATACTATACCGCCGCGCTGCTGCACCACGCCGCCCTCGCCCTGGCCACCGCCCTCGCGCCCGCCGCCGCACTGGCCGCGCTGCTGGACAGGGACCGCACCTTCACGGAGCCCGCCTTCATATGTACGTACTGCACTGTACTGTACTGTACCGCACTGTACTATACTATACTATACCGCCGCGCTGCTGCACCACGCCGCCCTCGCCCTGGCCACCGCCCTCGCGCCCGCCGCCGCACTGGCCGCGCTGCTGGACAGGGACCGCACCTTCACGGAGCCCGCCTTCATATGTACGTACTGCTACTGTACTGTACCGCACTGTACTATACTATACTATACCGCCGCGCTGCTGCACCACGCCGCCCTCGCCCTGGCCACCGCCCTCGCGCCCGCCGCCGCACTGGCCGCGCTGCTGGACAGGGACCGCACCTTCACGGAGCCCGCCTTCATATGTACGTACTGTACTGTACTGTACCGTACGTACTGTACTATACTATACCGCCGCGCTGCTGCACCACGCCGCCCTCGCCCTGGCCACCGCCCTCGCGCCCGCCGCCGCACTGGCCGCGCTGCTGGACAGGGACCGCACCTTCACGGAGCCCGCCTTCATATGTACGTACTGTACTGTACCGCACTGTCTATACTATACTATACCGCCGCGCTGCTGCACCACGCCGCCCTCGCCCTGGCCACCGCCCTCGCGCCCGCCGCCGCACTGGCCGCGCTGCTGGACAGGGACCGCACCTTCACGGAGCCCGCCTTCATATGTACGTACTGCACTGTACTGTACTGTACGCACTGTACTATACTATACTATACCGCCGCGCTGCTGCACCACGCCGCCCTCGCCCTGGCCACCGCCCTCGCGCCCGCCGCCGCACTGGCCGCGCTGCTGGACAGGGACCGCACCTTCACGGAGCCCGCCTTCATATGTACGTACTGTACTGTACTGTACCGCACTGTACTGTACTATACTATACCGCCGCGCTGCTGCACCACGCCGCCCTCGCCCTGGCCACCGCCCTCGCGCCCGCCGCCGCACTGGCCGCGCTGCTGGACAGGGACCGCACCTTCACGGAGCCCGCCTTCATATGTACGTACTGTACTGTACTGTACCGTACTGTACTATACTATACCGCCGCGCTGCTGCACCACGCCGCCCTCGCCCTGGCCACCGCCCTCGCGCCCGCCGCCGCACTGGCCGCGCTGCTGGACAGGGACCGCACCTTCACGGAGCCCGCCTTCATATGTACGTACTGTACCGTACTGTACTATACTATACCGCCGCGCTGCTGCACCACGCCGCCCTCGCCCTGGCCACCGCCCTCGCGCCCGCCGCCGCACTGGCCGCGCTGCTGGACAGGGACCGCACCTTCACGGAGCCCGCCTTCATATGTACGTACTGTACTGTACCGCACTGTACTATACTATACTATACCGCCGCGCTGCTGCACCACGCCGCCCTCGCCCTGGCCACCGCCCTCGCGCCCGCCGCCGCACTGGCCGCGCTGCTGGACAGGGACCGCACCTTCACGGAGCCCGCCTTCATATGTACGTACTGTACTGTACTGTACCGCACTGTACTATACTATACTATACCGCCGCGCTGCTGCACCACGCCGCCCTCGCCCTGGCCACCGCCCTCGCGCCCGCCGCCGCACTGGCCGCGCTGCTGGACAGGGACCGCACCTTCACGGAGCCCGCCTTCATATGTACGTACTGTACTGTACTATACTATACCGCCGCGCTGCTGCACCACGCCGCCCTCGCCCTGGCCACCGCCCTCGCGCCCGCCGCCGCACTGGCCGCGCTGCTGGACAGGGACCGCACCTTCACGGAGCCCGCCTTCATATGTACGTACTGTACTGTACCGTACCGTACTGTACTATACTATACCGCCGCGCTGCTGCACCACGCCGCCCTCGCGGCAATAGTAGTATACTGTACTATTATATATCAAATAATTATTTATATATTTTAGATACTACGTCTCTGTTTCATTTATTTGTCATTCAGTTTACACAAATGAAAATAAGAATTTTAAATAAATTGGTAAGTCTTAAAATAAATTCACAATATATCAGTATGGACTTAATACATGTCAATTTGAGTATTTTTTTTTAATAAAACACCATCATTATCTACTGCCAACTAAATTAATGAAACAGACACTCCTTAATAATATATCAAAAGCTTTCCAGACGAAAAAATAAATAGACATGTTTTATACGAAATAACATACCAATATTATTGTTACACAGCAAATTTTGAAAAAAAAAAGCGAAAGTATTGATTACTATTAGTGGCTAAAACCTGTCCATCATAAGTTACTGCCAACTGAGAAGATTAGTTCACGTCCACGTGCAGCGCTTCCCAATCATATCTGTTGCGTTATATGACCTCAATATTGCCAACATATATTATACTTGATTTCGCTGTGACCATGACTAATTCTGTTATACATTGCTCTACCAGTGACCCTGTTGACGACTCTGCTGGTGGGCAGCATGGCGTTCTTCGCTTTTATGTATCTGGTGAGCTTCTACTTCGCCGAGCGCGGCAGCAGTATCATACTAGTCATCGCACTTTTGCTATTCGGTGAGTAAAACGAATGACATTATAAAACATATATATATATATGGCCTCCGCGGTTCAGAGATACAGTGTAAACCAAGAGAACTACTTGAAACCTAGTCTCCACCACATAAAGTTATCCAAAATCATATTTATGTATGGTGCATAGTAGCGTGTTCTCCTCATCTGGTGTCCATGGAAGATCAGCATCGAGATATCTTAATAACATCCCGGCACTATGCTGAATGGATACTTTTTTTTTGGGCCTCTTTCTGTGTTTATTTGTACATTGTGTGGTTGCTAAATAAATAAATTACTATTATAAATAAAATATTACAAAAAATGTACATATTGTAGTTCAAATTCAAAAATTGTAATGTTATTAAGCGTCAATTTCTCATATAACACGATTTTATATCTTAGATGACGTCTTAGTATGAGGGCATTTTGTGTTCTATTACAGGCTTACAGCTAGGGTTGCTTGATGGGTAGAGTAAAATACCGGGACAAAATTTCATAAAATCGGGATTATTCGGGACCAAAATCAATACATTCATCCTTCGCTTCGAAAAAATATTGATGAATAACAAACAAAGATAATGTAATTATTTCTAGGGTGTTTCAGCCGTTATCGAGCGATAATAATTAATTTAATGATTTTATCAATTAATTAACATTTGACGAGACATTTCCTTCTTCTTCGGAACTTTGAACATCCTCCGAAAAGTCGGGACAATCCAGACCAATCCCGACCATCTTTACAACCCTACTTGCAGCGCTTCCTGCGCAGAGTAATATTTAATCTGATATGTTTGTACAGGTCTGGTATTGCCCGGCGTGAAGTTGACCAAAGACATGTTCAAGACGGACCAGTCCAAGTCGCTGAGTGACATCCTCCTGGCGACGTCCAAATACATGATGCCGCCGCACACGCTCACCGTGGCCGTCAGCCAGGCCGCCCTCACCGCGCGCCTCAACGCGCTCTGCAGCCTCAACCGGGACAAGTGCCCCGGCCTGATGGTAGCCGAACACGCGTTTGATCCCGACAAGTGTTGCGGTAACTATGCTTTAATGCTGACGCCGAACACAAAGATATTATGCATCGTAATCGGCCTTTTTACGTTCCCACTGCAGAGGCTCGGACCTTCCTTGTGGATGATTAAGGAGGATGGGCCTTGACTTTCCACGCTGGCCCAGTACGCATTGGAGGGTATTTACGACTGCAGATGCAGCCGGGATCAACGGCTTAACGTGCCTTCCGAAGTACGGAGGTGTTCGAGATAAAAAAATTTTTGGCTACCCATCCTATGACCGGCCATTGGAAAATTTGCTTAACAATCGCATCTCTGACCGCGCGCTAGCCACTGGGCCATCGAGCTGCTCTTGCTTTATGTCACAATCGCTGGTCGAAGTCTGTATTTCGAAAACGATCATCTTGTCATACTGTTTTTATATTTTTTCTCCAGATTTTAAACCTAAATGCATTAATTATAGAGTTAAAAATCAATTCTAAAAATTTGATATATTTTGGTAACCTGATGTGCTGATGTGTGTATAAAAAACAGAGCTGCAATATGGCGTAATGTTTTTGGTTTTAAATAGCCCTGTATAATTAATAGGGATATTTTGTTTCAGCATCTACGGGTAACGTGAACTGTTATTTCTGCTGTGAAAATAATGCTCCCGGCCTGATGATAGCATTGCTTGCTGTGCAGATAATAGTTTATATGGTAAGACTATTTGTAATATATACTTTATACTTCATCATCATCACCAGCCCTTTTACGTCCCCACTGCAGGGGCTCAGGTCTTCCTTATGGATGGTTAAGGAGCATGGGCCATGATGACCCTCCACGCTGGCCCAATGCGAATTGGAGGATATAAACCACTGCAAATGCCGGCAACGGCTTAACGTGCCTTCCGAAGCACGTAGTAGCTCGAGATAATAATTTTTGGTCACCCATCCCGTGACCGACCCTTGCGAAAGTTGCTTAACGACTACGATCGCGGGCCGCGGTGCTTATCTACTACGCCGCCGAGCTACTAAATTTATTCATTTTATACTTTCTTAAAAAAAAGTAACTAAAAGGTATTTAATCTAGTTTATGCTTAAAAGTTTTTCAAACGAACTTGAAGATACTTGTTTCTTTGCTTTATCTATATCGATGAAAAGAATAAGCCTTAATAAGATAATTACTGACAAGGACGCAGCTATTTCATCGATCTAATAATAGAGCGAGACAAAGCAGTTACGAAACATTTCCATACAACCGACAAGATTTCACTAACGTTTCTTTTTCGCACGCGATTGCGTTTGTGTACTGACGGCGATAAACACCCCACTTGAACGTTCAATCCGCAGACGTTGGTGTGGATGACGGAGGTGGGCGTGTTCAGCGGCGTGTACGAGCGCGTGATGAACGCGCGGTACCGCCCGCCCCCCGCTACCCGCCACCCGGACGAGATGGCCCGCGCCGAGCGCGCGTACGTCACCAAGGCGATAGCGCTGCGTACGTTACACACCCACACACACACGTACACACACACACACACACACGCACACACACACGTGCGCACTAGTGCTGCCAATTTAGCATTTTATGGCTAAATTTATTCTAATGATTTGGCATAATTAAATTCAGTTTAGCATAAAGCATTTTTGGTGAGAGTTAAATATCTAAAACTCAAACGTAGTTGATGAACGCGACCGTAGGTGGTAAGGTCTGAACACAACATAATATTCGTAGATTTATAGTCATAGAGTTGTCTTTGGTTAGATAAATCCCGCTTGATTATAATGAATTTTGGTGAGAGGAATCAATGAGGTCCCTAGTCAAATTTTGCGAATAATAGGGACTAATGAGGCTTATGCATCTACGTCATGTGCTCCATACCTACCGGCTACATCAACGGCTCAGGATACCGACGAGAGTTCGCAATTTATTTATAAATGCTTCTTTATAAATATTCTGTTTCTCTGATAAAAGCATTATTTTAAGCATTTTATAAAATATTAGGCACTTTTTTAAAGCCTATTTAGCAGAAATTATTTTTTAGAGTTGACAGCACTGGCGCACGCGCACTCACGTATACTACTACACTCGCATACCAGGTGCCGACATTATTTGAAATTAAATCAATCCTCCTACAGAAATATATAACTGATCTGATAGAAGACTAAAGAATAGTGTTGTGATATATGTCAAAATATAGATTTTATTTTTTAATTATTTTATAGCAAATATATAACGAAAAATATTAATTAATTAAATATAAGGCCAGGAATAAAATAGCGTAGCTGTTATTTGTTTTTAAAAAGTCCATATAATGCAGACTTTAAAATATTATTTACATATTGCAAGTGAAAGTGCCAGGAGAAATTAAAAATACTTGAAATCTCTGTTATAGACATATACAGACTTGTGACGTCATAATTTAGTACACATTAAGCGTTATACTTCCATACAATAACAGAAAGTATGTTCTAATCGTTGCTTTTTATTGTTAATATTATTTATTTTTATTGATATAATTATTTTTTCCCCGATGTATTTACGATATTGCATATGGATAGTTTTGTATAATAATATTTACTATTGAAAATTATCTTTTGCATGTCAATAACAGCAACCAAACAAATTCCTGACGCAATGCTAGTGTCGGACCTACACAAGAACTACAGGTTTTTAAACAAGTCGTTCCCAGCCGTTAAAGGAATCAGCTTCTCTGTCAAAAAAGGTATTTTATATTGAAAAGCATTCGTTGTCCATTCATTTTTTTATAACGTTTCATATGAAGTTTATAAATCACTCAAGAATAAAAGTTACTCTTGTTTGTATTTTTAGAACTATCAATTTTTGGAAACTAAATATTATATTTATAAACCACACCGTTTTAACATAGCCTTTTGTACGAGCAGCAAGCAAAAATTATGTGTCGGCAAGCATCGTCTTTTTTATACTAATTTGCTCATAATTAATAAATTACTTTTATAAAATTCAGTTCGCAAATATTAGCGTACTCCTCTCACCATCGGCAATCTAGACGCACGGCGGCATACCATCCTGATTTGGTTGATATCCCAAAACTTCGCACAAAACGCTTTTCATCACCGTTTCAAGAACGTAGGATTTCTGCCAGATAATGTAAATCCCTTCCGGCATTATTCCTTGTGGTCAATTTACATTGGGTAAATGGATGGCTCAGCGGTAAACGCTTTCAGTCAAATCATGGGTGACCAAAAATGTATTCAGAATGCTCGTAAAGCCGTCAGTGCCGTTAACATCCACCAATCAGCATTGGACCCGCGTGGTGGGCCATGGCCCAATCTACCTATTCCATTCCATTCATAGGGGTGTCATGTGCTCCAGTAGTGATGTCTATTTGGCTGGTGATGGTGATGATGAATTTACATGCGTGTGACCCCACTTCACACGCATGTAAATTCATCATCAGCTCTACGGGCTCATTGAGGAATAGGCCGACCAATTCAAATAAGCAGCAGAAGTACTGCCGATATTGTAGTCATTGCTAGCCAGGCAGTACGAGGATCCTTAACGTGGACGGTTTGGTTCAGGCGAGTGTTTCGGTCTGCTGGGCGTGAACGGCGCGGGCAAATCCACCACCTTCCAGATGTTGACCGGCGAGCGATGTCCCACTAGAGGACAAGTCTACGCCAACGGACACTATCTCAAAGGAATCTCAACAAAGGTGACAGCACAATATTTATCCCTAATTTTAATTTATTATAAATTTAACTATACTCAATTCATTATAGCATTAGACAGAAGTGAAATAAGTTCTTTTTATGGTATACTTTGTGACAAAATATCAATAATCATGTTACTTTTAAGACTGACGGCTAATTTGCTACATATTCACTTAAATATCAGCTACTATACTATACTATACCAAACTATACCAAATACTATACCAAATTTAAAACGTTGCCTAACTCTTTCAAGCGTTTCGGTAGTACAGCTTTTTAATTTTGTCAGACTATTATTTATTAATAATTGTTAAAATCGTTATCTGGGATTGTCATCCATTGTGAATGCTACTGCTTTTCTTGTTGTTTAGCCGTTTTCCGTGATGTTATTGTTTTATTTTTGTTGTTAAGTTTTGGTAAATATGGACGATGTCGGTACAGGTACGAGTGGCCTACAAAAATTACGCTCTAGGCCCCCATACCTACCCTCAAACTTTGACATTTTAGGGAGTTTTTTCAATGTCTTCATCAATAGTCTAACTTATTACACTTACAATTAGAATTTATCAAAACACACAGATATTTTCAGTTTTAGTTCCATGTTGGCTTAGGACTAAAAGATGAATTTATAAAATGCTGGCCTCATCTCAACCCCGAGGTATCATAAAAAATGGAAAATTGCCCAGCTCTTTCAGACTACCTAACGTTCAAAGTTTCAACAAAACTAATATAGATTTTTTAATTTTATCTTGAAAATAAAATGTTCTGCACTGCTGCTTCTGTGACCCTCTTTTTTATAATGTTATAGTGAATGGAGTATAGGTACGTCGTTTCGTCTTTCGATATTCCTTCTTTCATCCAATCTTGTTAATCTTAACTTTATTTCACAATCCGATATACTTCCATAGTAAATTGTCATACGTTCCAATACGATATATGGTATGTTTCAGAACTACATTTAAATATACCACACTCACATTAATGTACATACAACTATCTATCTACAGACAGCAGAGCCATTGGCGTAACTATATCGTTTGAGGCCCGTGGCAAATTCATCGAATATTCATTTTTTTTTACTAATTGGGTACTAATAAATGTCAGGAGTAAGGAGTCTCCTCTTTCCGGGGACTCCTTCCAGCTGGCCCGTGGCATTTTGCCGACTTACCACCCTATAGTTACGCCACTGAGCAGAGAATCAAGTGTTCTTAAGAAAAGGCCGAATTTTTGTAATCAATTTTGATCTTAAATATTAACAAAGGAAGAATTAAAATCGATTGGAGACTTTTAACGTTTTGTAGTAAAGTTAATTATGGTAACCTCTTTTTACATATAGTATTTGAACACTCTCGGCTACTGTCCCCAATTCTTCGGTCTCGATGAGTTCCAAACCGGGATGCAGAACCTCGAACTGACTCTGACGCTCCGCGGATTGGATACCGACGCCGTCAAGTCAGAGGCCGCGTCCTGGATACAAGTTGTTGGTAAGCGAATACTGTATCTACTGTCCTAACCGCCTTAGAGTTTGTTTTTATTAATCCTTGTATTATATTCTTAATGAAATTTCCTAAAAACAAATCACTTTGTCTCTGGAACTCTGAGATTGTGAATCCAAAATTATTCAAAATATTATAATCCTTGTATCACTTGAGGTTCACGGTACAATTTTATGCCCATTATTAAATACTAGATTTCCGCCCGCGGCATCGCCCGCATGAAATGTCAAAATCTTTATAAATCTGAGATAATTCAAATCGGAGATAAAAATTCTTTTACCTACGGGAACCTAAATCATATGCGGTGAACATAGGCCAACATTTGTCCCAAAAACAACAAATGAAGGGTCTAAAATGGGAGTGGAAGTTTGTATAGCGAATTGAAACTTAACCATAGTAATAACTGTTTACTATTCGTTGTAGTTACATCCGTGTCATGATATGGATCGATATCTAAATAAACAGTTCCTTGGGAACCACGCGGGCGGTAAGCTAGTTAGTGATTTAGTGTTGTACCAGGTCTGCAGAAGTACGCGGACCGCTTAGTGGGCGGGTACAGCGGGGGCTGCATGCGCCGACTGGCGGCCGCCGCGGCGCTGTGCAGCGGGGCTCCCCTCACGCTGCTGGATGAGCCCACCGCCGGCGTGGACGTGGCCGCCAGGAGGAGGGTGTGGGCCGCGCTCCGCCGGGCCATGACCCGCCAGCGAGCCATCATCATCACCTCGCACAGGTAACACTGCCTACTGAGAAATATCAGCGGACACAGAAGGTTCGACGTCGATAACAGACTAACTGAAGTTTGGATCCGAGTGCGTTAGTGTTCGCGCACCAACGGGGAAGGGGCCATAGACGTTCGTAGCAGGTTTGCTACGGTACGGTCGCGCGCACGCTACGGAACTGACCTTCTTGTGACGGACACGCCCCGCAATCGCTATACAACGACCACGTTACTCGATGTCAGGAATAAAGATTCACTGTGTAAATGCATAAATTGTGTGCGACCGCAATTTCACTTTAAATATAGACAAACGAGACGTCCACTTTCATCAGAGGAAACAATGATTTCGATAGACGAATTAAGTATGTAAATGTAAACGTGTGTGGTGCAGTATGGACGAGATGGAGGCGTTGTGCGGCCGCATCGCCATAATGAGCGGGGGCGAGGTGTGCGCGCTGGGCTCCCCCGCCGCCCTGCGCGCCGCGCACGCCGCCGGCCACGCCGTGCGCATCAAGCTGGCCGCGCGCCGCGCCACCGCACCCGGCGACCACGACGGTAACTATACCAAGCCCCCTTGCGACCACGACGGTAACTATACCATGACCCGGCCACCACGACGGTAACTAAAATAAAAAAAAATAAAATCCATTTATTTGGGACAAAAATAGAACATAAGCAACACAATCACATGGACACAACTAAATCTCTGTCCCAAAACAGTTCCAGCTCAGCATATGCTGGTCTTGTGATCAGCGCTGATCTTCCGCTGAAACCGATCCGGTGAAAAAATACAAACAGTAACACATAACAAAAATACAGTGACATAAAAAAAAAACTATACCATGACCCGGCGACCACGACGGTAACTATACCATGACCCGGCCACCACGACGGTAACTATACCTAGCCCCCGGCGACCACGACGGCAACTATACCTAGCCCCCGGCGACCACGACGGTAACTATACCAAGACCCGGCCACCACGACGGCTTCTATACCGAGCCCCCAGCGACCACGGCGGTAACTATACCGAGCCCGGAGCTGAATACGGAAATTGTCGTGAATGCTGCATGCGTAACATCCTTTATTATTCCTTTTACACGCGTTCAATATTAAAACTTTCACTGGTGGATTATTTTTGAAACCTATTGTCTACTGATGGAACCTATTATTAAAATGGAAAGAAGAACAACTGGACTATTGATATATGAAGACAAGACGTGCACGATATTCACAGAAACACCGGTAGATTTTTCTTATTTAGTTCCATCTATTGGGCAGGCCTATGCCCCAGCAGTGGGGACGCTGATAAGCTGATGATGATGATATAAAGGTGCTTACTGGCAATTTTTTAAGATAATTAAGATAACACACAGTACCCTCGGACCACGCGGTCGAAACCGCGAGTTACAGCTTGTTATTAATAATGACGACTATTCCACCGACGAGTAACATTAAAGACTATGAAAAAAGAAATCACAAAAAGAACTGTTTTCGTCCCGGTGTCATCCAAACTTTAGTTACAGATTTGAAATAGAAATAAAACTAATATGGAATTTATTCTATTAATGTATAAAAAACTTTTACAGAAACGGATTCGCCAAATTCACAATTAAAATCGCTCAAAGGGAAGCTTCATCAGAAGTTCGACTGTACCCTGAAAGATGAGCACAAGGTAAGTGACAAATTATAACTATTTTTGCCCTATAAAAAAGGTGAAAAAAACGGGTGATACGTATCGTTACGCATAGAACTCTGCATTGTTTTCGCATAGTATATTTTATTGTAAAGAACGCTATAGGTCTTTAACCTCATCCTGAGGTAAAAAAGAAATTCTGTTTAGTCCGTCAGTCAGATAATAGAAAAATATTAGAAACTTTTTTTTTTTTCTTCGAAAGAAACAGCTTAGATGACAAGCATTAAAGTTGAGGGCTGGGGGTTCGCTACGTCACAGTTTTGTAGAAAAGGTACAAAAGCATGACGTCGTGTTACATTTTAACTCGATGTATCGCCGTAATTCAATGATTACAAAATAAATTAAATATACGTATTTATTTTTCAGCAAACTACCTGACAAACAAACAAACAAAAAAAATGGTCGTTACCCCTTTTTGTCTAATTTTATAATCTGTTTGAATGCCTTTCAAAGGAATAGCGTTTGTGATCGCGATTTATGGAATCATGTAAAGTTCAAAGTTGAATGATCAAGAAACAATAAAACTAAGCTATACTCGTCGAAAACTTGCAACTAGCATTCAAGTTTCGTTTGACATTCCCAAAAGTTTTCAAAGATATTTTTCAACAACGTCGCTGTCGCTTGTCATGTAGTTGCAGCGTGAAGCTAGTGAATAACTTTCAAATGCCAAATTGAAAAGGATTTCGATAGATTTTAAAATTATTTAGCGCCCTGTCCAACGATAGCATACGGTAGAAATTCTACAGGGTTCTATGGATAGCGATATGTATTGTTTACGTTCAACGTTCATATTATACTTTTGGTCATTATCCGTTTTTATTAGAAAAAGAAACAATATAATTATTTATTACTAAATAAACCTGAGTAATATTCAATAATAAAATTGAGATCAGTTAGAATATAACATTATAATAAACTGGACTGAAAATAGTTAAATATAGACTTTGATTACAATACATTCAGACAATGCTCCACTATCACATCAACGAGACTATGCAATACAGCGAGTTGTTCCGCGAGCTGGAGGCTCTGAGGGTGGCGTACCCTCTAGTCGAGGATTACTCCGTCACCGAGACAACGCTCGAGGAAGTGTTCCTCTCTTTCGCTCGCACGCAACCCTCTCAACTTTCAAGGCCAGTGTAATAGCAGATGTCACGGGTTGAAGAATCTCTTGAATCGTATATCGCTACAAAGTTGCCATGAATATAATTTATGCATTATCTTCGCTGTGAAACGGTTACAATTTTTTAGGATATGGAAACTTTATACCAATGTTTTGCTTTTAGGTGCGATTAATTCAATCGCGAAAAAAAAATATTTTATGGCAGGAGTCAGCAACCTGTGGTTCTTTCGATCTATTTACGGCTCTCGAGTTCTATTTAATAAAATTATTCTACCATCGTAACCCCTTAAATCATATAATCGATCTATAATTGAGTATGTTTGAGTGAAAGATATTTAAAGTCGTTTATTTTAATTAAAATCTCAAACAAAAATTTCAATAGTATTAAACGATATCTTTCAGTGGCTCTTTAAAATGTGAAATTTTGTGAATTGTAGCTTTTGGCCCTTCCGTGTCGTAAGGTTGCCGATCCCTAATTTAAGGTGATCGCACATCTGTCGAAATCGAAACGCCGAAAGACGCGAGAAACGAAATTTTAGAATACTCTACACACGCATATAAAAATTAGTACGCGTCGAATCGTACGAATTCTAATGTCACCTGTTATTCCCTTCTCATCATTATTTTCATTTTCAAGAGATACACACTGCAGTACACCAGGATTAAAGAAAATGTTAAATCTCTGAAAGTAATTTTGAACTATATTAACTAATAACAAAAAAACCGACGACCCAGACAATAGGATGCCCGCAACCTATTTTAAGTTTTGATCTGTTGGTAGTAAAGTTCGAAATTGTCTCCAGAGATTTGATATTTTGTAGAAAATGATGTGTTGCTGTGTGCACATGATTACGGATGGACATAGGCTATTTGAAATCCGATGCTAATATAATAATATTTCAAAATGGCTCTTTTTACAATGTACAATGTAATTTGTAATTTAAATTTTTATTATATGTATTATATTGTGTTGTGTGCCTCCTAATTTATAGATATCGAAAGATTTTTTCTAGTTCAAAAGGACCGAATGAAGTCCGATTTGTAATTCAATGCAACAAATATTTACATTCCAATATCTAATCCGGGGATAACCTGGTCATGAATTACAAGGATATGTGGTTGATATATCTTTTAAACTCTACTCAACTTATATTGTATACATATTTCGACATTCACAACTGTTTGTAACAGCGTAGACTGAATAAATGACATTTTTTTTTATGACTAAAATAATCGATTAACTATATATCATATAGTATTTGTAAAATTTGATCTCTTTTTTACTATTTAATGTGTGTTAGCATTATCACTTTTAAAAATAATCTCGGTTTACCTAAAGCGATAAAAAAGCACTTGATTATCTGTACATATATTGTCTTTGGTTAAAAAAAAGTATTTGTCACCCGCAAAAGTCATAGAACACGACACCAACCGGGCGAGGTGTTACTTGCCAGTTGGATCGTATTTGAAATTATATTTCACTACATCGATATAAAAAAGCCAATGGCACCTATCAACTGGATTTTTTATATTGACGTTATGGAATGACAACATGCGAATTAATGGTCAAATTTAAATGGCGAGTTAATATGATTAAAGCAGTATAAAAAAATCTATTTAGTCGGTCGGTCAGAGAACAAAAAACATATTAGATATGTACTTCTTTTCTTTTTTATATGACAAGTTACGGCGTAGATAATAGACATTAAAGTTGAAAAGAAGGGAGTCACTACGTCACAACTATGTAGAAAATGTGACCCGATCGATCGATTTTATATATTGAGTATATAATACACATCTCGTATCTTCAATGTTAAGACAATATGCCGCCTTCAAATACTTGTTAAACGATAGAATGCCTACGGCATTAAGTCTTTAATTAAGTGTATGATAAAATAAAAAATCTAGTATTTGAAACCTTTTATTTGTTTTCGCACAGTATAGATATGATAATAGTCTTGTTAAAGTATTTTTTTTTTTTTTTGTTTGTTAAAATATAATGTGTATAAGATCTAAACTTAGTTTCCTTATTTGTAATCCGTGTGTTGTTGTTTATTTAATAATTTTATGTACTCATATTAATACTCTAAATATATAACTTTCTTTAATTTTTATCGTTATTAGATTTGATTCATTAAATAAAGGAAAATAGGGGCACACTCTAACTCGCATCATTCATAAATTTGGTTAAGATTTTTAATTAAAATTAGCTTTTCATTGTTCATAAGTAATGGAAAGAATATGTATATTAGACAGCATTTAAATTGTAATATATTCTTTATTGTTTACAAATATTTTTAGCTTTTCATTAATTATATCAATGTAGTTTCTTATATATTTGGTACATAATATTAAACGAGGGCTTATTCTCATAAATAACAGGGGTCAGCAAATAATTGGTCATTGCAAATTGAATCATTGCTGCTTTATCTTCCTTTTTTCTCTCTTTTTCTCATTTAATCTAAGATTTTAAGTACTTAGGCCGGTTGATGCTTAACGTGACCTTACTAAATGTGCCCTTATTATAGAATTGTATTGTGAACGTTGAAAAGGCGAAACTCGAATATATAATCTCTTTAAATACTATTGTGTATATGTTTGTAATTCTTTTTAAGGTTCTGTGCCTCAAAAAGAACAAATGAGCCCTTACAGGATCTCTTGATTATCTTGTCTGTCTGCCTTGTCTGTTTATGTATCAAGAACGCTTTGCAGAATAACGCGTAGAAATCGAAATGTTTAATTGTAATACCGATAGAGTATATAACAATAGCTCCATCCACACCTTTAAGTTCGTACGGAACCCTTAGTGCCACGAGTGTGACTCATACTTGGCCAGTTTGTTGTTACCTATTATTAACACGTGATAATTCTATGTATTTTATAGTGTAATGTATGATGTGCCTGATGTACAGAAATGAGATTAAATCTCAGTAAGTAATGTGAGATATATTGCACGTGTCATGCTACTACAATAGGGTATATACATAAAAAAAATAGATATTCTGATTTTGATTTACAACATTACTTAATCTATGTTTAATGTGACCTGAAACATGACCCGCTGTGGTGCGTTGTCAAAAACATTTCTACATTATATCAGACTAGTAGTAATTGAGTTTATTTATTTCGTAGCAGATTTTAAATATGTTAATTCTTGTCTCGTACATACATACGTTTTTATTTCGTATATTATGATGATAAGCTCGTTAAATGCTGCTTTTCATTCGCGCTCTCCGCCTCTGTCATTGTGTGTTTATTATTTTAAGCACTTAAATCAAGCAACAGATTTGTGGCTGTGGTTTTTAGTGTTGAATAGAATTTATATTTATAATGATGCAAAAGACAAATATAATTGTAAATTAATAAAATAAACCTTTTGTACCGATCTCGGTAATAAATACAAGACTTATATTTTATACATTCACTCTGTGTGCAGGATACAATATATAAAGCTGTGATGTTTATCATGTAAGTGTATTTGTAATTTTGCGTAAACTAACTTTGAGTAAAATAAAACTAAGTAGGCAACTAAAATTATTTTAAATATAATTTAGAATTTAAAATTATGACACATGTCGTCGTTATTTGAAATTATAAAATTAATATTTGGTGTTCATATATTTTTTATCATTTATCTAATTACAATTGGTTTATTTAAATTACTAATTAGTTCATGGATATGTCATCAAATTGAAAGTATTATTTTTAGTGGCAGACTAACCTCATCGGAGGCCAGGGGAGGCAAACCACGCCCTTAGTCCGCCACTGATTATTTTATTTCACATGTACTTATGTAATTACGTGGATATAAACTGAAATTTATTGTCTTATCCTGATTACTGTATCTTCACTTGTTTTAACTGTAGGATCCAAATTAAAGAATGCTTCTCACACAAGAATAAATAATTGGTTTGATAATTGAAGCGATTAATTGACTTAATTTTAATCGTCCACGTTGTTCAGTCCGATTCAGTTGCACAAACGTCCATAAAGGTTTAATGACGACTCTAAACTCTAATTAATGTTATAAATTGTATCGGTAATATTCGATTTTAATGAATGTATGTGCAACTAGGCATAAATGACAGTATTGCTCTACCGCGACATTGTTACGTTATATAGACATTATCTTAATTAGATAAAAAGTCGATAATTTGCTGATGTTTGTAAGTAATTAAATAAACAATTGGAAAATTTAACGTTAAGCTCTCTTTTCAATATAATAAACTTTGGTATAATTTGACTATAGTATGAATATGTACGTAGTAGTATTAAAGTTGATGTGGTTAATCTCATCAATCTCCCAAAATACCTTTAATTATTACCTTATATAGGTGCATATTTTTCATTTATTTAAAATTAGTATCAAAATAGCAATGAGATGTGGTAACACAAATGACTGATTGGAATTTTACGTATTACCTATTATCAGTTTAATTTTTTAATTTATGAATTAGCCTAATTAATCAAAACCATCGTGGGTGCTGAAACATGTGCAAAATAAAATGCATTTAGTAAATGTTATTAGCTATTTTAGATAAGCACTAGTATTGTATGTCGTGTAATCGTATCGTAAAGGGATAACTGATGTGATTACATTCGTTATCGAGGTCCGCTTTAAATTGATTTAAGTGTGAACGCTTTATGCTATTGTTTCAGGGAGTACTTATTTTTATATACTTTATTATACTATACAGTACCACAATGTATTACTAAGACTGCATTTAAGTGTATCGTATATTTTTTTGTTTTAAAGCAATAAATATATTCCATGCAATTGGTGTTTCAATTAAAACATAACAGGAGTTTTTCATATTTTAGGTTGTCATATTCATGAGCAATAAAAAGTAATTCCATTTATTAGTGCCAATGGAAGTGTGTATGCTTTACCATGTTGCCGCAGGGCGGTGGGCGGTGTCAAGTAGTGTGTATGTGTTCGCGGTTTCGCGTGCATGTCCCGTCCATGTGGTGGGTGCACCAAGCATTTCCGTACTGGGCCCACGTGTATGTCCCAATGCGGATTGGTGGCGCTAAAACACAGATCACCAATGGGTGAAAGCAATCCACCCAGCATTCCTTAATGGGCGCGTGTTACGGTCCCAATGCGGATTGGTGGTTATAAACCGCACGAATTCTTAATGGTTGGAGCCCAAATACGCCGGCCACTGTGATTATCCGCCTCCGGCGGATTACCGATTAATAGACCCGCGTGATTGTCCTAAGTCTCTCCGCCAAAAATAATTTGGCCACACATCCAATTACCGACCTTTACCTCCGCCTTAACCTCAACCTCCGCAATCACAGATCAAACGCACTAACCACTAACATTATAAATCTTAATGATCAGTATGGTTTTTGATGATATATATGATTATGTGGTTGTCTCCAAGTTAATGAGGTACTTATGGATACATATAATTGAACTTTGTCCGTTTACCGAGTAATGTTCAACTTATTGTATACTTATTTATGTAGTTTCCACATCTATAGTAATTTGGATGGTTACGTTTTGCGGCAACTTGTAGTGTATAAATATCTTTGATCTCGACTGTACATTAGATAAAATCAATAAAACGTTATTTATAGCTGTGGCAGGTGATATCGAGGGTTAGGCGGTACCTCTCCAGGAATAACGGGATTTGGCTTACTTTGATAAAAACTCATGTACAGTCAACACCATGTCAGATCATACTAATCTGTCAATTTTCTCCCATTTGATTTTATACCTTATTACGTTGAGGGTAGAGTTCAAAATCAATTGCAGAAGTTTGACATATTGTGATAACCTGACATGCTGAGTGTGTAATTACGCCCATGCGCGTACCACCAATTGAATGACCTGAATTTACTGACCCTGAAAGCGAAATTATTTCTGCTCCAGTAATTATCACATGTAACTTATAAATCTAAAAATTATAGCAGATGACTATATAGAGGGTACTTGAATAAATTGAACATTTGTTACATAGCATTTGGTAGGTATACACATTTATTACAGATAAACCTGCTGATTTTTTTTACAGTAACATTAAACTACTTCACGAACACATTGGCAATCTAAACTTAGGCTTATTACAGGAATGTTATTGCTTACACTTTTAATTTTTCTTATATTCCTGTTGCTCATATGGAACACAACAGTAGACAAAAGAGAAGAAACACAATTTCCTTATATTATATTACAGTAGTGCAATGGTTCCCAAAGTTGATTGGGCTGCGACCCATTTAACAAAACTTCCAATCTTGGAAGCACCTGTTGGCTGTCAGAAAAAGAGTTCACAACTATATGTGTTATATAGTAGTCAATTGCCAATCAGGGTCCACTCAATATTCATTAGCAACCTACCAGTGAGTAGTTTGGGAAATACTGCAGTAGTGTACGTACATACACCATGTATTCATTTTGATTACCTATATTATTTTCAACTAATGATTATGTCTTCATTTTTGGGATGTACAATTTTGATAAATTTTACATTCACAATGCTATTTATATTTATCATACTGTTAATTTTTCTAAATATAATTTTCTATATAATCATTTTGATTAAAAGCTTTTCAATTCAATATATTATATTGCAATTGTATGGAGTGTGATTATACTTATTGTAATGTTATAAATGCAATGTTAAAATTGATTAACAGAAATATAATGTAGTGCATAATGAAAACAACAACTGGAATAAGCAGTAACTGACATACAGTACTTAGGTTATCATTACTGTAACTGACATACAATACTTAGGTTATCATTACACCACAGTGTATAACTTGCAATACAACCTTCATAAGAACAATTTAAATAAATACAATGAGAGCTATAGTTACACTAAAAATTAATCTATTACAATATGTAAAATTGCTATTTATACAGTTTCATTGCTTATGTTACACACAAATTGCTAAGGTACAATCAAAGTGAATGACAATCATTGCTAATGAAGGTCACTTTATACTATGAGCTGTATTGACAACAGGAACAGGAAGATCAATTCTTCAGGTATATTGTAACATTTTTTCAAAGATTATTTAATCAACCACATTTACTGGCAAGTTAAACTTATAAACTATCAAATTCATGATTTCTAAGCTCACAGAATAGTGCATACTTAAAAAAAGATTCTAGCACAGAACTAGACTTCACAATGGCCTCAAGGTTATTAAAGTATTGTCCTACTTATCTAGATAAATTAATTCAATTAGATATCTTGTCTAATTCGACATTGTCAAATGCTTTCTTAACATTTTCAAAAACTAGATCAGGTGCAACTTCTGCATTTATTTTCCTCACAAGACCTAACTGTTCGTAATGTTGGATAATTGGCATTGTATCATTAATGTAAGTGTTGAATCTCTTTTTGATACTTTCGAGATTATCGTCTGAGCGGCCGCTGCCGGCCGCGCCTCGACCCAGGCAGCGCTCTGTACACAGATCTTGTGAGCACTCAAAAAATAATACAAATAGTAATTTTGTTTTATCCGACATAACACGGTTCCATCCGTCCAAGTTATCCTTGTTTCGAGGAAAACCATCGATTAGAAAACGCGTTTTTCCGGACTTTTGCATAGCTTTGTGAATAAGTGAACACGTAACCTCAACCGGAACTATTTCACCGTCACGTATTTTCTGTTCTATCATCTCTCCATATTCTGATCCAGGTCTCTGTCGTTCTTCCCGTAATAAATCGCCCGCAGACAAATGCACAAAACCATATTCTTTGGAAATATATGAACACTGTGTGCCTTTACCGGAACCAGGCGCCCCGAGCACGAAAACCACGGACGGCAGCATCCTATTTATGTAATCGGAGAGCTGTCTCAACGCACTACACGCGATCATTAACAGACAGAAATGAGCTATTTTACAGAAAATTAAACTCTTTAAAAATCATGCGCAGAGCCGCAACCTTGAGTCAAGTTCGAGTATTTGACATATAGACTTTGATTGTAGTGTTGTGTAATCATATCATCTTAAGTCATCGAAAATCGAGTGGTTGCTTTATTTAATCGATCCTGTTATAGTGAGAGAGTATATCAAATTAATAAGGAACAAAAAAGATTTGAGTGACAGATGTGACCAATATGTGACCAAATGTTTAAGCCTCTTTCTTGGTGATTATTTATTTGCGCACGTGTATGGTGAGCATTAAGCCTTTAGAACACCGACGCAATCGCACACGAATACAAAATATTTTCCAAATCTTATCAGTTGTAGAGCAATGATTCGCAAGTGCTTTGTCTCGCTCTATTATTAGCTCGATGACATAGCTGCATCATTATCAGAACGGTTACGCAGTTAACTGCGAAAATGTTGTTACAGACATTTTTCGCAGTTGACTGCGTACCTGACTGCGCACATGTTTGCGCATTAGGGTTGCCACCCGACCCGATTTCTGATGACTGTCACGTATTTCGTTTCTCAAAAGGAACATTTGAATTCACATAGATTCGCAGATGTTTCATATTCGCTAGCGAAGTGTACTTACAAACCGTCAAACCGGAAGTTTCCTTGAGCTCCTTTATATACCTTACAAATACAAAACGAACATTGTTACTGATGAAAATCAGTTTGAAAGTATTTTTTCTGTATTTTCACACACCACACAAGATGGGATTTTTATCATTCTTAAATTAAATGAATAACGTTATTCAAAAAATTGCTTTCATGAACGTTTTTGAGTGAGCACGAACTATAAACTCTAATCGATATTTATGCATAATATATGTACGTAGCTTTATTAATATCGTTGTCTCAATCTCTCGGTTTTAGATAGTATATTTAACAATTAAAAGCAATAACAAATGAAACAACAGTTGCTAATAATATAAGTAAATTTTCTGTATGTGTTTTCGTGTAGTTATACCTATTTAGCCCCGTTATCGAATACACGATGTAAGACAAATACACGTAAATAAGGAACGTTTTCTATAACTTGGGAGTGCTGATGATGTGTTCAGATACTACAATTTTATTTTTTTAATAAATATAGGCAATGGTTAAAGACTTTCAGTGAGAATGCCCAATCCTTGAAATGTCCAACATAGACATCATCATGGGCAGCATGACAGAACTCAAGAAACGCTGCCGCCTCTTCGAAAGGTCATCAGAAGGTAAAAAAATGCTATTAGGACGCGAATTGCATTGTGGCGGGATCTACATGCGGACACCCCGAAGACGCGAATGGAGGGATTATCGAACGTTATCAAAAAATCGGGACTGTCACTGAAAATTCGGGACGGGTGGTACACCAAACGGTACTACACTCCGGTCGAGAGTGAGATATATAAAGGCACCGCACTAGGTTTAATCCATAATAATGATTTTTTTAAAGAATGAATTATGAAATGGTATGCTTTGTTTACAAGGGGTTAGTCGACAATAACCGATTCGCGAAATGACTACATGGTCTATAGATATATGATTAATTCGTGAAATTTACAATTCTATGAATGACTGATATTTTTGTTTACTCAATTTTACCCATACCCCACTTTTAAAGTGTGACGTAAATATAATAATAATAATTTATTGAGCAATTCAGTATACAAATAATTTACCTCACAAATAATTTATAATATTTAGTGGCTGCCATCGACTTCGTCCGCGTTTTCCATTATTTCTTCGCTCCTAATAGTTGCAGCGTGATGTTATATAGCCTAAAGCCTTCCTCGATAAATGGTCTATTCAACACAAAAAGTTTTTCAATTCGAACCAGTAGTTCCCGAGATAAGCGCGTTCAAACAAACAAACAAAAACTTCAACTTCATAATATTATAGTATAGATTAATGGATTAAGATTATCGTCAATAAAAAACAATGTTTGGATTAGAATAATATTTATTTCAAACTAACGTATATGTACGAACACCACTCTCTGATCTACGATATTTTTAACCAGAATGGAAACTTGATATTGCGCCCTTGTTGATCCTATAGGGCCTAGATACAAAATGACATTTTTTATTTTATTTTGGTCAATAAATTCAATGTATTGTCAAAAACTAAACAAATATTGGCTACATACATAAGTAATTGCAAACTAGTGCACGAGTGGTCGTCCATAGATTTCGACACACTTTAAAGGAGGAGCACAAAAAAAATATATCATTTGTAGAATCCATAGAATTAATAAGTACTACGTACAACTAGAATGCTTACTGTGCGTCTAAACACGCGCCGAGTGAGAGGTCATAAATCTTGGTTTGTCCCTTTCTGAGTAGTGTAACCATTCTTACCTGAATACATTGGACATTAAAAGAAAATATTGATTATTGAAATTGAATAATATTAATATGAAGCAGAAAAAAATCTTATTCAATCTCAACTCAACAAAAATAAATTTTGAAACTATGGAAATCAGAAATTTCATAGGCAGACCTCCCCCCCCCCCCACTGGGGGAAGACCTAATAATAAAACGCAATCAAAATAGTATATTTTATTATGACTGTATTGTTTACATTTAAAATTAAACATTACTTAAAAAAATTGTTTTGTGCAATTTATGGCGTAAAGTATCGCGAGAGATGCCAATGGCCTTGAATGTGAGACCTTTGCCATAAGTTGACATTCTTATTATGAGAATCTCATGCCTTTGTTGGATTTATTTTTGTTCAATTGCTGATGAATATTTGGGAAACAGTTTGTTATGACAGATTGTACCTTTTCATAATTTTTACAATTTTCTTTTAAAACTGCTAAAAGTGACTTTAAATTATTAATCTTCATCTTCATGTCTTTTCTTTTGATCTTTGCCTAGTATTATTATCAAATTTTAACTTCTTACATGAAGGACTTTAGTCAGGCGTATAACTAAAGGCGTTTAACACATTATTTTTTTTGTTATCAGGAAAAATCTGTAATGAAATTAGGTAGGTACATAAAAATAAGTTATAATATGAATTGTTGTTTTAACTTATTATTTTCGATATAATGTTGTTTATAAATGAGTGCTTTAATATTAGGTAGGAACCTTTGGCAAGATTGAAGGAATCACTTCTGATTTCAGCCTTTTTCGAGCCTCTGTTCGGTAATCTTTGAGTTTGAAATGAAGTGTACAAACCACACAGCTTTCATCTAAGTTCCCTGGTATCAACCATTTTTTCTTTAACTCTAAATCCGATGGCAAACTGGAAATTTAAATTAAAATGTATATTTTTTATTATAGTAATAATTTGGTTTGGTTTGGTGTGTAAATAGATATTTGCAAAAGATCGATCAAACGATAAGCCTACTGACCAATAAAATTATTAAAGGATACCCATTTATGAGCCACCACATGCTTGCTTAATATAGGTAGACTTGCAAATAGTAAATAACCAAAGTGTTAAGTGATACAACAATTTTAAATTTAGTACTTAATTAGGCAATAATAGGGTCTATGCTTATAGTACGTACGTACTTTACATCTCTATATGTAAAGTATAGTCACCCTAGTTTCTACTAATGACATACTTACCTGTGAAAAGATAATCCACAGCCAGGTACGATTCTTTCCCATACCCACTCACAGCACATATATTGTTTACCATTTTTCAATCCAATATACTATTTAAAGCACTTTTTTAATTCAGAGAGCATTAAAAACAAGTCCATATGACAAAAAAGAAAACGCCATGTTGCTTTTGTGGTGCCACGCGAATACTTCAATTTACCTATACTCCATTCATTATAACATTAGAAAAAAGAGGGTCATAGAAGCAGCAGTGCATAACATTTTATTTTCAAGATAAATTTAAAAAATAAATATTATAGTTTTGTTGAAACTTTGAACGTTAGTTAGTGTGAAAGAGCTGGGCAATTTTCCATTTTTTATGATACCTCGGGGCTGAGATGAGACCAGCATTTTAAGTAAGTGTATATAATTAGAATAGAATTTAGTTATATCTATGCCCTGGAAAGAAAGGTAAACAAAAGGATTTTTTTATTATTACCTTTATAAAATTTACTCAGATAATAGACTATTGATGAAGAAATTGCAAAAACTTCCTGAAATGTCAAAGGTTGAGGGTAGGTTTGGGGGCTTAAAGAGTAATAGGGATGTTGACAAATTTTTGTTTGTTTGTCCGTCAGGTAGAGTGTTAAAAAATATTAAACACATATTTTTTTTATTTTTTTCGTAATCATAAAATTACGTCGTTACATTGAGTTGAAATTTCGCATGACGTCACGTTAGAGTACCTTTTCTACTCAACTGTGACGTAGCGAGCCCCCACTCCTCAACTTTAATGCCTGTTATCTAAGCTATTTCTTGTTAATTTGAAGTAAAAAAAAAAACGTATCTAATATTTTTCTATTATATACTTAACTGACGGACTAAATAGAATTGCGTTTTTTTACCCAGTCATCATCCCTACTGTTGTAGTCCACTCGGGCCTGCACCGGCATCGTCCATATTTAACAAAACTTAACTTGACAACAAAAACAAAACTATTACAAAATAGAAATAAAACAATAACAACTTAATAACGGAAAACGGCAAAACAACAAGAAAGAAAAAATCCCAGATGATGTATTTTGACAATTATGAATACATCATAGTCTGACAAAAGTAAAAAGTTGTACTGCCGAAACGTTTGAAAGGATTAGGCGACGTTTTAAATTTGATAGAATTATAGTGACATGAGAATCGTGCCGAAACTATCCAACCCTGCTTCTTTAGGTTCTTTATGATGAACACTCTTTATTGTAAATGTTATTAAATCATTTAAGTTAGTCAAATACTCATAAATTTGTTTAATAGATAGCTTAAGTGACAACAGTTAAGTATAGCAGCTGGTATTTAAGTGGATATGTAGCAAATTAGTCGTCAATCTTAAGAGTAACATGATTATTGATATTTTGTCACAAAGTATAC